TCCTGCTGCGGTTTCACCTCTGGAAACCGCATCGTGAAGCACCTTTATTCTTTACTCCTTTTGGTATCATCATCATCGTACAGCAAAATACAGTGAGGCGAACTTCACTGATCGATACCAAACTCGCAGTGCATACAAGGGTTGTGTTGGTATTGAAACAGACAGACGATGTCATCGGCGTACTCTAAATCGCACAGTTTTTCTCCAGCTGTCCATTTAATGCCTACGTTTTGTAGTTCACTTAGTGCGTTCTCCGGTATTTCAATTACGACGGAATTGCATACGAACGGCGGAGAGCACCCTTGACGAACGCCGCTACTGGTGACGAACGGCCTACTTAGTTCGTTGTAAACCCTTACACCACCAGAGGTATGTGAATACAGTGACCTCAGTAGGTTAATGTACTTCTGGGGCATTCGTTTTCGAAGACGGGAGCCCATCAGAGCCTCGCGGTGAATCGAGTCGAACGCTCTTTTCAGGTCAAGAAACACCGCGGTCGTTGATCGACGGTGGGTGTGACGCAGCTCAAGGACCTGACGCAACGNCAAGGACCTGACGCAACGCAAAAATTTGATCAATACATCCACGGCCAGGCCGGCATCCGGCTTGCTGTTCACGGATGTTAGTTTCTCTTAAGGGCGTCAGATATCGAAGTGTAACCCAATCTAGCACTTTGGTGACGATCGAGTTTTTGCAATCGTTGCGGGATCCTTTCTTGAAAATAGAAACGATCAGTGATTTGCCCCAAGATGATGGAATGCGCATCCAAATGTTGTACAGTAGGTTAGTAATAGAGCTTACGAGGTTATCACCCCCCATCTTGAAAAGAGTGGGAGGGAGCTCATCCGGTCCTGTTGCCTTTCCTCGCTTCAGAGCTTGAATGCAAGACCGAACTTCTGCTTCTGTTGGAGAATCGCATGACACTGACCACGGAGCTATCTGGTNCCAACCTCTCTTATTGCGTGTCAGTCGGAAAGATCGTTGACTATTCCATTTCACCAGCTTGTGTCGCCCACCAGTTCTCACGGTCCTTCTTGAGGCTCTTCGTGAGCTGACGTTGTCGATGCTACCTAATTCTATTTTAATCCTGGCGGGCCGAGATTTGTCTTTTTTCTCCACCAAAACTACTGACTCCTGAGGTATCCAATGCCTCCGACGGGCTTAAGGCTTAGACCCACAAGTAACATTCGCTGTTGGATGCATTGTTCGCCTAATCTGATCCCACTGCTCATCTGCATCATCGCGTTGAGGTTCGCTTAGCCCACGCACTAGTTCTGACTCATAGAGTGCACGAACTGCTGGAACAGGTAGTCGATTACGAGCTATACGAGTTTGCTGGTTTTGTCGCCGACCGGTCGGTCGGAGAGTGAACTGCATCAAAACTAATGCGTAGTCAGATTCAACGCAGGTGGTCCAATAGGACCTGCATTTTACACTGAGCCACGCCAACGGTAGCTTAGTGCGATGTGGTCGATTTGAGTTAGCGTACCAGTTGAACTGGAGCGCCATGTTGCTGTCCGTTGAGAGCCGTGTCGGAAGTTGGTGCTTGATATGAACAGATGATAGTCTGCGCAGAGCTGAAGAAGTCGGTCGCCGTTATCGGTTCGTTGGCTGTCCAGGGCACACCCACCGCCTGGCAAGCTCCTGCCGTGCCCAGTTTTCCAGCCTGCGCGTTGAAGTCACCTGCAAGTACAACTATGCCGGATCTTCGACTCATCCGAATGAGAGCGGTGAGTTTATCGTAGAGCGCTTCTTTTTGGGTATCGGAACTGCAATTGGTCGGTGCATATGTTGATACGATGAATAAACATCTTTTGGTGTTGCTTCCCTTCCGAACACTGATTAAACCCTGGAATCGCACTGCACATAAACGACTGTTGACAGGGATCCAATCGATAAGAGAAGACCCAGCCGTTACTAAGTACAATACCTACTGACCTACTGAACGAGCTTCATCGTCGCCTGATGTGCGAAGAACGTATCTCGTCGACAAATCTGGCGCACTCAAGTGGCTTATAGCAGTGGGATCCTGTATTAGAGTTACCGACACGCAACAAATATCGATCTCTAAGGATTCCATTGTACGCGCCAGAAAAGCTTGTTGACGTACCTGCATCAGGGTACTCACGTAGAAGGCCCCCAGATTCAGTGGTTGACGAGGCTTTAGAATCTACTATTCGTTTTGTGGTACATCACTTACAGTGCTATTTGGCGAGCGACATCCAAGTTGCTTGAGGGACTATTACAGATCGGAAGAAGGAGTAAAGGGAGAGGGTCGAGTACGGAAGACAAAGTTAAACGAAGGTTGGGATATCTGAGCAGTAAACCACGTATCCCTACCCACTCCGCTCGATGCAGTGGGTAGCGCGGTCCTGATTATTCTGCGCGACGACCGATGCAGTATGGAATTATTTGTAAGTTGTGTGCATTGGGGTTTAATGGACGGGTACTGCTAGCCACTAAGCAGGAGAACGATTAAGGTTCTCAACCAAAGCCTTTAGTTCTAACAAGAACCCAACCGCAAGGTGGCGAATGAAGCGAATTCAAGGCCCATTTACTTGGATCAGTTACTCCTCCATTTACTGACTGAAACGCAAATTCCAGTCGAACCGGGAGTACCAGGAGACTGGACTTCGTCTGACCTCTACCCATTGACCTTCCAGACATGATAAGATCTGGCTTGACAAAAGCCGTCCTGTGTAGCTCGTTGGGTCATAGAGGTGCACAAGCCATCACACCACGTCAAGGTGCAGTCTCGTCGTTGTGGGAGTATTGAAGGTGGTGGTGAATAAATGCCTTATACGGGGTAAAAAGGCCTTCGGTTTTCTGGGTCTCGCCGATGTTTTTAGCTGACAGCACTTACTTTTCGGGTGGTTAACTTACACTGAGTAAAGTGTCTGAAATCTGCTGGCACACTTGTACATAGACCTTAGGTCGAAGAATGCTCTTCATTGCGTCCCTAGTCAGGGACCCTTCTAACTTGAGTTGGGTCTCTTATTTGAGTCGTGATTTGCCAGTTTTAGTGAGCTTGAATGAGTGTTGTTCGTAAACAACACTTCCAACCCCGAGAACAGCACCAACAAGTGATTTTTGTCTGAGAAGTGTGGGACCCAGTTGGCATAGTACGCCGACATCCTCACCATTCGTCTTTGCAAAGCCGTATCCTTCTGGGAGGTAGCTCCTTCAAGGCCGAGAATTTTGTCGGGGTCTGGCTTGATTAAGCCTTTGGAAACTTCCTACTCGCTAAGATGGACTCTGCTGGCTCCGATCACAATCTTGTATTCACTAAACGTTATACCCTGTTATACTGGCTTTATTCATGACGTTACGGAGATTTCGATCATGTTTTTCCGGGTCAAGGCCTCACTGACGTTCACGTACGTGAATGTATCTTGATATTCTTTATGGATAATATCTATCTATCCTACGTCAAAAGCAGGCCACTCCGTTTCTCAACCCCACGGACCTTTCTCAATTACTCCAAAATGTTCGATCAACGGACGTCGTAGTAGTCGCCGGAGACTTCAATGCTCAGGTGGGATACCTGGACGAATCAGAAAGATTTCTTGGCGAACCACATGCAATCTCAGCCAACCGGACAAACAATGGAGATCGCCTACTTCAACTCTGTAAAAACCACAGAGGAATTAGTTTAATCAATATCGCCTCTGAAATTCTCGCTGGCATCATACTCCGTCGATTGTCTGCCGCACGTGAACGGTTCACGCGTGAGAATCAGGCTGGTTTTAGGCCCGGTCGAGGTTGTATCGACCACCTCTTCACTCTTCGCCAATTTCTTTTCGTAGACCCACAATCTATCTTCCTCGTTTTGAAAGCGGCTTTCGATTCAGTCGATCGCTCCAAACTCTGGCGCTGCCTCACTCTGTAGGGTGTTTCCGAGANAGGTTTATTTAAATATTACAATCCCTTTATACTAATACTCGAAATCGAGTTCGAGCTTACGGCACTTACGCTAGAGTTCACCACGGAAAGTATATATATACCGGTTTGTGAACAAGCATGATGCCAATGCAGCGAGCATAACGTAACACACAATCAATAGCGACGTCTTGAACGCTGTGCGGAGCACTTCAAAGTACAATTTTGCTGGCCACCAGCGCCAGCTTCTCACAGCTATTCCGGCACAGGTCCCATGGCCTGTTTCAACAGACCCACCTGCTGAGGCGGAGATCCGTGGAGAGATCCAAGCCTTGGTACGTCACAAACCGCCGGGCTCAGATAGCCCTCCCGCTGCTCTATTTAAAGATGGTAAAATGAGGCTTCTTAGTGCATTTCCCTTCCTGATCACGAGTTTGGAACACTGAGCAGTACCCCTCCTTATGCGGGGAGTCGATAATCGTCCCCATCTTTAAAAAAGGTTCGCGAAATGATTGTGTCAATCATTGTGGTATAAACCTGATCCCAATGGCTTCAAACTTGTAAGCGTCCGTCATTCTTCGTAGGTTGTACAAAACACACGAGGAGCAGGCTGAGTTTCGTGCCGGCCGTGGCTGCATCAATCAAATCTTCACCCTCCGACGGTTGCTTGAGCACCGTCATGCTTACCGTAGACCAGCGATCGTTGTGTTCTTAGACATTCGCACGGCCTTTGATTCGGTTGATAGGACCGCACTATGGAGCTGTTGTTGAGGGATGGAGTAACAGAGAAGTACATGTTGATCCTCGAAGAGTTGTATCGTCATACCTCAGGTCAGGTTAGGGCCTATGGCCAGCTTTCACCACCCTTTGCCGTCTCCAGTGGAGTTCGACTTCGCCATAGAGGATGTTCTGCAGGACGCTTTGTCCGGTTTAGAAAATGGTGGAGTCGAACTCCTCAAAGGGAACAGAGTTCTTGACTTAGGATGTGCCGATGACATCGCCTTGTTGGGTGACAATGCGCAGGCAGTCCAACAAGCTTTAAACCACTTGGCGATGGAGATATCCAGGTATGGTATGTGTTTTGCACCATCAAAGTGCAAAGTGCTGGTTCAAGACTGGCAAGAGCCTGTGCCTGCATTTACTATTTCTGGCGACCAGATGGAAATGGTCGAGAGCTTTAAGTACCTCGGGAGCTTGATCACAGCTGGAGGTGGGGTTGGGGAAGAGATCACATCACGAATAGCGAAAACTAGAGCAGCTTTCGTCAACCTGCGACACCTGTGGCGCCGCCGCAATATCCGACTGTCCCTTAAGGGAAGGGTGTATATCATCGCGGTCCGTAGTGTTCTGCTTTACGGTTGCGAGACCTGGCTTCTCCGAGCGGAAGATTCTAACCGATTTTCCGTATTCGACCATTGATGCCTTAGAAGCATTGCTCGTGTCTGGTGAGAACATCGGGTGAGCAATGATGAAATTCGTCGTCGTGTGCTGGGAACTGCTAGTCGTTCTCTAACGGAAGAAATCGTTCTACACCGCCTCCGATGGCTCAGTCATGTTTTGCATATGCCTGCTCATCGACTATCTGGCCGTGCTCTCTTTGCACGTGCTGGGCAAGGTTGGAAGAAGTGCCGCGGCGGTCAGACCATGACATGGCGTAGAGGTATGAAAAAGTTAGCCTCAGCATTGACTTTGGTTGGTTTAGCTCGCCTTCCATGCTGGGGCCGAAGGGATGAGTATTGCCGATGGCTAGAAACGCCGAGAGATATGGCTCAGAATAGTGACGCGGTAGCTGTGCGGTTTGTTTGGCGAAACCCCGTTCCCCATAACACAAAAAACTTCAAAAACGGTACGGTGAAACTAGAAAAAACTCCTTCATTTGTACATTCGTTCTCCGTGTTCTCTGTTTTCCCCATTTTCACTTTATCTTTCTGTACCCCTCTATAACTTCATTAACATTGTTTTGCATTCGCACCATGCTTGCTCTCAAGCCGGTGGAAATTATATATATATATATATATATATATCGGGCGTTGTTTACTGGGGCAGGTAGCATGTAGACTAAAGCAAGGGGTGCTTACACAAAAAATATGAAAGGTGTACGGTGAAACACAGACATATTTTTCATTCCAGATATCTTGCATTTTCCCGTGTTAAACAGTTTCTCCCCCTTTTCATCTTGTTCTGTACTTCAATCCACCTGTCCGCTTTCATTGTTATTGTAATTATTGTTTCCGCGTTGGCACCATGCTTGTCTACAAGGCGATGGTTTATCTATATATCTATATTTCATAATAAGTAGTATGTGAACGATTGGACAACATTTCCCTGCAAGCACACGACCGGTTTCGCGGTTCTTGTCGCTCGTGATATATATATGTATATATATATATATATATATATATATATATACAGGGGTGGTCAAACGAAGACCTGATTTGAGGGTATTGAAACCCTACCCAGGTGACTAGGTCACATAGGTCTCGTTAGGCTCCCTGGCTAGAGATGATCGTAACCAATGGTTACAGACACTGATATGGCTCAGTGTCGCAAACAGTGGTGTTCGTGCATTTTCTCAATTTTTTTCTAACGTTAGTTCAACGAAATTCTCCATTTCCTATTCGACTCCGCTTTCAACCTTACTGTCTTCCTCCTACTGTTCATCCAAATGGACAGCCAAAAAACAGCAACCATAAGCGGCACACGAAATTGCGTGGTTAACGGTTGTACAAACTGAACTGACATTTGTTCATCACTATTCTTTCCAAAATTGTCAACCCATCCATCCTTTTGCCTATAACGCCACCCTCTATTACTCCCCCTCATACTGCATTACTCGCTCTGCCCACACTAGCATTGCTCATGACTATAGTGCAGTTAATGTGTCATTGGACTCCACTGTTGAACACATCTCCTGAGCCCTTTCAAATACATTTCGTTTACTGGTTCTAAAACCTTTCACTTTCTCTAAAACACCACTTTCCTCTCACGTATCTTTTGATTCCACACAACTGCGTTTCACTTACTTTGTTGCCCTTCTTGGATTGCCTATGCCTTCTTTATACTGGTCCCATTTCATAGCTCAGATTGCTTCTCGTGCTGCGCGCCTGGTTGTTTTTTCTCCGCGCCAGAGGCTTGTTCATCTCAGCTCATTTGCTGTTCAGCGCTCAAATTCGCCCTGCCTTTGAATACTGCAGTCAAGTGTCCGTTGATGCTTCTTCTCTTTCCCTTTTTGATCGTGCTCAACGAAAGGCCATCCGGCTGATCAATGATCTTTCCCTAACATCCAATGCTCAGTCACTATCCCATCGTCCAGCAGTCGCTTTATTGTCCCTGCTCTACCATTACTACTTTGGTTTTTGTTCTTCGGAGCTTGCCTCGGCATCTCCTCTTGTAACTTTCGAACGCCCATCCCGTTAACATGCGTCTAGTCATCCTTATCAAACTTCCGTTCCCAAATGTCGTACTTGTGTGCTCCAATCTTCTTTTTTGGCGGAACTGCGAAGTTGTGGAACACCCACTTCCTTGTTTCCTCTAACCTCACACTCTTTAAACGCAGAATCAAAAATGAGATCTTAAGTGAATGTTCCCCTATCCCCCCTTTTAAGGTATGCTTTTTGTCTATGGGGATTCCCCTTTTTACTGCAATGCACATGAAGTATTCGCTTTGCTACATCATAGAACTCATTCATCTGTTCATCGCCTTTAATTTTAGTTCATTTTACTAAAACGCAACGCGACTTATTTTCGGATCAGTCAAAGCTTTCCCACTCTGTCGTAATCATTCACGAGAATAGCCCATTCTTTCGTTGTGCTTTTGTTGTGTGCATGTTAACTACAACAATACACACTTAACTGTTCATTAGTTCAGTTTCAGAACGTTGACAAATAGGATGAGATTTCAACATTCCAGGAACCGATTGCTTCATAGTTGCAAAACAGCTGCTTAAAGTAGCGTCTTAACGAAGCAATCCTTCAGAACCGATCTTTTCGCTTTTCCTAACATTCGATTGCATTTAACCAGAATTGCTCTCATTCTTGCAGTGTAACTTATTTTACCTTCTCCAGATGCTCACTACAACCAGTGGCCTGGTGTTGGCCCTAGCAGCTGGAATCCCGCTGCGGGGCCTCCAGGACCAGGATCACAACCATGGGCCCAACAACCCGTCGGTTGGAACGGAGCAGGGCCTGCAAACCATCCAGCTAATCAACCTGGGAACGGTCATTCCACGCACTTGCCTAATTTGGCAGCACAACCAGGAATGCCCTGGCCACCAGATCAGGCAGGTCCCTCTACAAACGGTTGGATGCCTTCGGCGTGGGGACCGCAGGTACATGCTAATATGTCCGCTAATAACAGAAGTAAGTATCTGAGCGTTACGGTCACCTGCTATTGGTATCATTACATCCAGCCAAACATCACACATCGCACTACAAGGTGCTGACAGGCTGCTGCAGTAATACTTCATCGGGAAACCCAAACAGGGGACGATAAAAAGAGGCCTGAACATATGATCCAACATGGAGTCATCAAATGTTACTGGTATAAGCAAATTTAGCTTACATAAAAGGCAACAAATTTCCATTATTTACTCTATTTCACTCATAAATTATTCAGATAGTGTTGTGGTTCAATTTTTGGCAGCCGTATTAGCTTCAAGTGTATTCTATCTTTCACGGACGAGTTGAACAACTCTGCTGTATCTGATTTCTTTTGAATGAGTTAAGTTTCTGTTGATCTCTCTCTATGTATAGTACGACAGTCGACTGAGAACGCGCGTATCACTTGCAAATGACAGTAGACGGTAGACAGAAAATAGTTGGCAAAACCAAATTTCCGGTGAAACTGATGTCGATTGCGCTCGAGATGCGAGATGAGATAACAGAAATAACTGAAATCCGATGACATTTCCATTTCGCCTGTTCGCCGAGCTTGGCAATTTGTCTGCAAATGTTTCATCACCAGCCGAGGTGACATCATCAGTGCTTGTGAAGTGGCAGTGTTCTGTCTGTACTCGTTCGTTTATATGTGCGTTCTTCTCCACCGGCTATTTTCGTCCCCTGTTCTCACTGTGTTCGACTCGGTCCGCCGTTGAACTGTTGTGAGCGGATGGGAGTGGGAGGGGAGGAAGTTGTCCTTTAGTCCCGATTGCGGTTTCCGTCCGTTCTCAGGTCACGGCGTGACCTTTGTTGCGTCATTTGGTCCTTCAGTTGCATTGCCGTGTACACGTGATCCAGTTCGATGTGCCTGTTTATTGAGTTGGTTGAAGAGTGCCAGGCCTCGAGAAATTCTCTGGCAACATTTTCAGGTGACATTTCTTGGAAATTCTGGGGGTCCTTCCAAGTGGCAAGAACTCCGCAATCAAGGGGATGAGAACGAGTAGCGTATGTTTGGAAACATATTTCAAGTGCAGGGAGCGAGCTATCTTCTGGATCTGTTGGTTTACTTTTTTTATTACACCAGTGTGTGATGAACAGCAGTCGGGGCGGACCCCATAGTCACGAGGACCTGCTGTTCAGTGATGGTAACTGGCACCCGAAACCCCGGGGCTTGGAGTGGCGAATCACGTAAGGCCCCGCTAGCTCAGACCTTGTTAAAGCAAAGCTGCCTTCCACCAAAGTTAGGTGGCGGTGGCGGGGCTCGAACCTCGGGCCATAGGGTCCAAAGAACACCGGTGGAAAAAGGGATGTAGCACCTGATGAAAGTGAAGAGCGAGGAAAAGACGATGATGTATTGCGGGACTAGTGCGATATGAAACAATGTGGAAAAAAAATTGGAGAAGCTACAAACGAAAACTGGCTTCACAACCACTCGTTGAATGATTTAGTACAGGCCTAATGAGTACGTATGGAAAGTCCAACCATTTGAGAACACCGCAAACGATTATAGCAGATCACTACTCGAGGTAGTTTTGACTATGATCATTAAAACTCGGCGATGATAACTGGACTGTTGAAGTCTGATTTTACCGTTTTTTAAGCGTTGGTGGTGAATGTCATCAGAATGAAGCGACAAACTGCATATAAAAGGAAATTGGTTTCTCAACGTAGTGTTCTGAAAACCGCGAATGACTACCCAAATGTAAAAATATTGACGTGGTTACTGATTCATGGGTGTGGATATATGTCCCATCGCTAAAAGAGGAGGCGTATAGTGGTCTGCTTTGGACCCTATATTCCGAGGTTCAAACCCCGCCGCCACCTCAAATTTGGTGGTAGGCGGCTTTACTGTAATCTAGGTAATACCACGTCTCACCTCGTGGGGGCCTTATATGATTCGCCACTCCAAGTCCCGGGGCTTAGGTTGCCGATTGCCATCACTAAACAGTAGGTTTTCGAGAGGAAAGGATCTGCTCGGCGTGTCTTACTCTAAAGAACAGAACCATCAATTCTCTAACAAGCTTTAATCCACCATGTTTAAATGGAGCTGGATCTAGGTCATCGGAGTCCAGGGCTTTGTGATTTCCCAAGACTTGGATCTTCTTACAAATTTCCGCCTCAGAAGGTGGGTCTGTTGAGACAAACCATGGGACGAGTGCCGGAATAGCTGTGTGAGAATCTGACGGGGGTAGCCAGCTAAACTGTGCTCCGAAGTGCTCCTTCCCGCGTGTAAGACATTGCTGTTGATTGCGAATAAGCGAGTCGTCAGCTTCGTAAATCGTTTCGCTCACACCCAAAGCTTTCCTATCGGTGACCAAAATGAGAAAATAACTTACGGGAGTTTCCCATTACGGCAGCACGTCGTTGAGTCCATCAGATTTCTCATTCTCTGCGTAGACTCGTCTCGTCACGAGTCGTATTTCATTATGCTCACGGCCGGTCGGGATTGATCGGCATGCATCGAGGTGTAGAGACTCCGCAGGAATCAGGTGTGGCGGTATGACACTTCAGACCACAACTAACTAAGCCAACAGAATGCAAAGCATTCTTCATAAGCCACCAGTGCTGGCTAGTGTCATCGGGTGAGGCTGGTCCTAGCTTTTCAGCTCGTGCGTTTTTGAAGTCAGTCAGACGAGCTGGTTCGGACAGCCTATTGCAGTCTAGGTGTCGGTATGTTGTACGGTTAGAACGCCCACAGAAGCACACAGCTTGGCGCAAGCTAATGTGTGGTCGGATTCAAGAAAAATGCTGCAGTACGATCGGCAGTCTTGTATACAGCCCCGCCATTTGTGGTTTACAACTATTTGATCAATTTGCGTTCGTCGCTGGCTCAGGAAGGGCTGACGCCTAGTGGCGTACCGGCAGTTGAAACGTTTGAAGTTCGTACTGGCGAGGAATAGGCGGTCGTCGGAACATCGAACCAGTTTTTTGAGCGACAGGAATCCAGTCCGAAAGGACCTCCCAGATGCGCCTCGAAGTCTGCCGACATACTCTAGCATTCATATCTGCTGCTAAAATCACAATATAATCCCGGTTCGCTTCACGCAAACGGTTGTGTAAATCCTGATAAAATTCATCTTTGACTTCATTTGGGGTATAGTTCTTTTGGGCGTACGCCGACCCAACAGACAAGTTTCGTCTATCGGAGCGACGGCTGCTAACTTTGCACGAACCTGAGTCTTACATACTGTCAATTGAGAGTGCGGCTCCAGCTGTCTCATTGAGAGCCACGCCAATGCCAGTAAGCCCGTAAGCTGCCTCCTCAGGGTCCCCAGAGATGCTTCAGTGAAATTTCTCACCTTTGCCTGTTGGGGTCCTCAATCGGATAATGTATTTGAAGCCTAGAATGCGAGTTTCTTGGGTGCAACAAACGTCGGTGGCTGGGTTTTCCTATACGCATCAAAATAGGCATATTAAGCGTGGTTAGTTTGAACGGACATCCAGGACCAAGAATGGCTTCAGCTGGTGGTAGTTGAGGATACGAGGGAACAGCGGCAGTTTCCATTTGAGGCACAATTGGTAGATCGATTGTCTGAAAAACTCGAGAGGTGAAGGTAAAATGGGTATGGGATAGGGAAGCAAACGTGTGTACGGTTTAGAATGTTTTTCGCTGAGTAAAGAAATTTAAATTGCAGAGACGAAAGATTCGAGAAATTCACCATCGTATGCGTTTTGGGCGACCCCTTTCAGAATAAGCCTTGTTCGAGGTTGCCCTCTAGTCTTTGCGCAACCAAGTGCTGAATTTAAATCCACTACATCCTCTAATGTTCCCGCCGATCGTACGCGACCGCCTATTCGGGAGCCTAACCCCGCCTTATTCGTAGTTAGCCACGAGATGACGGCCATTCCCTTATCCGCGACCTGGGAACGCGCTTGGTAGCATACAGGTCTGCCCTCCCGGAGCAAAGATGTTGACAATGTCCATCGATGAATTGCAAACCATGTCACCGTCACCCAGCTTTGATCTTAGGCAACTGCATCCGACTGAACACCACATTTATTCCTCCATCAAGGCCTTATGTGGACGCTTCTAGTGCTAAAGCTTATTTTACTGGATTTCGAAGCTAGGCTTCCGGTTATTGTCTGTGGAGTTCATCTCTTCGGTTCCATTAAATATAACANCTAAGGCTTCCCTTTAAACACTCACTTCCGTGGTATGCTTGTGTCCAACCCTGCGGCTCACTCATGTGAATATCGTTGAGTGAAAAGAGCTTTTATGGAGGGCTAAAATGTGGTTGGCACCACCGGATTTAAGTTCAGCATGCCGTCCTTATGAAGGTAGATGTAGATATTCCTATGTAGCTATGTGCTGTTACTGAATACTCGTTGATCCTGATGATGCCCAATGAATGCATAATGAAAATGGCCGTTCGTTTTTTAGTTGATCATCTACTCAGTTTAGTCTACACATATTCAATCAAGCATTTTCGACTGTAACTCCAGAGTTCTGTTATGTGAGGATTCTGTTGCAAACTATAGTGTTAGTACCTCAGGGGTGGAACACCGTAGCCACTTGGAGCATAATTATCAGGACCTTGGATACTCGTCCATTGTGACATCCAAAGATATCCATCTGTGTGCACCTTCAGTGGACCGTCCATGATTGTGTTATCACTCCGGTTTGGGACTTACCAATTTTTTTAATCTGTGTCAGAGTGCATCAGAACTATCTTCTGACGGCACGGGAATCAGAGCAAGATTTATTGTCATCTAACCGGTTTCCGTCCCCGAAGAGAGTATCGTTTGTTTCATAAACTTCGTTGACAAAAAGTTGGTTCAGTGCTCTGTCCACGTCAGTTCCTCTCTGGTTATAACTTGCCGTTTTTGTAGCTTTTCGGTTTTTCGGTTCATAATACACGTTTTTTTAACTCTATCCCTCATAGTACAAGGTATCGGAGAAGACGTATCACTATACAATTCATCACAGACCCGGAAACCCAGATCCGCTTGGGACACTTTATGCTTTGCTGCTCTGACTGGCACGAATTCTGCACCCAATCAAAACGAGTTGGTTAATTCGATTGAGACGTGGAATCATCCGGCTGCAGCGGCTGCGGCTGCAACAAACGCTCTGTGCCAATTAACGCCGATGCAGATTGGCCCAGGGAATGGGCCACCTACGGACTGGAGTCAAGTCACAGCCCCGCCCGGAACTGGCGCCACACACTGGATGGGAGTGAATTCCACACCGGTCAGTTTATCTGGTTCTAATGCATCAGAAGCTGTCACAAACAGCCTAACAAGTGGTTACTTGAACGAACACACAGCCCCACATCCACACCAGAACGGAGCCACTATGGCGGCGGTAGCTGCGGCTTTTGGCATCGGTGGCTCAGCCACTGGCCCAGTACCCCCTCATTGGGCCACATCCGGTCCTAGTGGTGATCCAAGTAAGTAATGTCTCCATCAGTTACGGTCGAGTTGTCGATCCCAATGGTTTGCGTTTTGTTATTTGAAGTCCCAAAGACGCTACCCAGCATCAGTGGTGGGTTGTGTGAGGAATCTGAAACTGAGAGCTAACGACAATTTTCGTAGACTACATCGAGTGGAAACGCGACAGTTAGAACGGAGGGAGTGTGATATGCAAACGGTGTAGATGAACATGTTCTGTTCCAAATCCCATTAATTAGGGTGCTGGTTATCACAATCAGATAGTAGTATATATATATATATCCCCGGTTTCCGCACAAGCACGGTGCCCATACAACAACAAAATTAACAAGAACAATACTCGATGGGTCGATTGAGATGCAGAACAGAATGCAAAGAGAATTAAACAGTTAAAATGGAGAAAAGTAGGCGACAGGAACAACAAATTTTTATG